CCATCCGTGGGTGGGGTTGTCCAGCATCTTCGACAGCTTGTTTAAAACTTCTTCACTGAGGGAACCGATGCCCATCTTCCAGCCGTCCATCTTCACCGCGTCCCCGCTGACGAACCGATCTACGGGACGAACCGGAACATTAAAGTGAAACCGTACCGAGACTTGAACGGCAGGTTGTAAAGTCAGAAAGTCACCTCGGGGTTCCCCGACCTCACGAAACTCCAGAAAGTCTCACAGAAGTAATCAGAGTAAAGCAAAGCAGCGGAGCGTGAAGCCAGAAACTCGAACAGTGATTTAAACCGAACCGAGCAGCAGGACGTCGGTTTCTTTGCAGCTTCCGCCATTAAACGTCGCAGCGTTTCTGAAAGCGGTGAAAAAAACCTACCGGGACTTACCGGGTTCACGGTGAGCAGCGACCGAACCGGAGGTCAAACCTGAGCCGCGGAGGAAGGGGAACGGCCGCCGTTTGCGTTAAAGCCGCACTTTAGCACCGGTTCACTCGTCCGGTGTCACTTTAGTTCCCCAGATGATGATGATGATGATGATGATGATGATGCGCTTCTCTTTTCGGTTCCTCATTTCTGCGCGAGCATTTGCATGAAGCGTCGTCATAGCAACCACGTTTAATGGAGGTCAAACTTTAGGAATAATAATAATAATAATAATAATAATAATAATAATAAATAACTAATAATCAATAAAAAATAAAAAAGTATTTTCCCTCTATTCATTTTAAAACATCACACTAATTTACTTATTGTTTATTGATGAAGCTGAAAATCAGCAATTTTTAGAACTATTTTTTCTCGACCTTGTCTGATTTACCTGAAACGTTTTATTCATCAACTATCTGTAAAGTTTTACCTCACTGATGTTTGTTTGTTTGTTTGTTTGTCTATAGAAATACACTTTAAGCACATTTGTTATTGAAGTTTGAGGCTACGTTCGGATGTCAACATCTTAGAAAGTATTAAAATTAAATTAAATATTAAAGTTTTAATTTTTCACTCTTATTTCTCTTCATTGATTTAGAATCAGAAACATTTGGGAAAGTAGTTCAAATAATCTGATTATGGGTGAGTTGAAATGTGCTCATGTTCCACCTTTAAACACACATTAACAATAAAACTGACGTCAACTAGTGATGTTTTCTGAACTTAATCTACTCACAGGAAGCCTGAGTTTATTCCAAACGTGGCACAAAGACAGAGACTCCCTTTTGATCCTGTCCAGTTGTTTTCACTTTGACCTTGACAATGACTGAACCACTGAAGTGACTGTGGAGGCCTCCAGCATCAGTGAAATCCCCTCCTTGTTTCACAACCTGTGACTCACTTGCATCATGAGCCTTGTAGGGATTTTAAACTGATGTGAAACAAACCGCTGTGAAGACAATCGTCTACAAGTTACGCAGATTTAAAGATGCTGAACTTTCTTTCGTTTTCGAGGCCATTCATAAAAATGTGGCCTCCTCCTCCTCTGAGCTGCTGTTTGGAGACATGGAGCCGAAATATGGTTTTCTAGTAACTATGTTTTTTTAAAATTCAAAATAAAGACTTTCTCTGATGTGAAAATCTCACATTTTGACCAACATGTTTTTTAGTTTTTGAGCCCAATTAACACATTTAGGAGGACTGAACAAAATCGGAGCCGGTTCTGTTGGAACCGACGTGGACCGGTCCTGTATTCATACGTATTTGTAAAAAGTCTGCAAACTAACAAAACGTCAAACAATTTACACACAAAAACCACAAACACAACCTTGTCCATGTTCAGTGTTTTTTAATCCAACATGACACTTTTCTACCTTTTTTCCACCATGAAGCTTCTCTGGAGCTTCTCTTTATATCAAACAATCTTTGAAAGCTGAACCACATTTTGTAAAACTGGATAAACCGGATTTGCTGAAGATGATTGTATTATATGTCTAAAAGCTCCAGAAAGCCAATAAATAGACTTTGAATTTGTCAAATCAGGTTTCCGAGGCTGAAAACGAACTTGAAATAAGTCATGATGCTTAAGAACATTCCTACTCTGGTGGTGCACTGGACATCTGTGTATTTTGAACTCCTTTTATTACCACTTCATGTTTAAAACAGACGATTATCTCCCCCCTTGTATTCAGTGTGACCACTGCTGAGCTTCCTGGAGTTCTCGATCATGCTGAAAGCCTAAAGCCAATGCTGCATGACTTCAGACAATCCAGTAGATGAACGGCAGGAGAGAAGGAGTCCATCTGAAAGTCAGTTATTCAGGAAGATGACATCGGCCCTGAACGTGCATCACGTCGGAGTCATTGGGATTCAGTCCAGAGTTTAAATCACGATGCTGGAAGAAGCCCTCCGTCAGTCCGGCGAAGGCCTAAATCTTCTTCCATTTCTGCAGTTTGTTGGTACGCCAAATGTTCTCCTTCCTCAGGCGTCTCCAGTACTGCCAGGTGTCCGATTCCAGCTCGGACAGCTTTTGGGCATTTCCCAGGTTCAACTGGAACAACCTGAGTGATCAAAGTAGACTGAAATGAGATCCGCAAAGACGCATCAAACGCACTTCAAAGTCTCAACCTGCAGTCTCCCTGTTACGCAACATTGGAGTGAAAATGTCTCTGACGCACTCTCAACTAAAATAAAAACCAAAAGCACTCGGATATTTCTCCACTGTACTGCACCTGATTTCCATAACCTCCCTCTGACTCGGTTTTCTGCATGACCGACTTACGGGAAGACTTATTACCGACTGAAACATGTTTGGACTTCGTGCGCTGTGTGTAGCTGAAGGCAACAACAGTAACAGAGAGAGGACGAGCCACGGGACGGCAAAACAAGTTGTGCTATCCATTAAACACTATTATTTAACAGCCATATTCTTCCACAAAAAGCCACATTCACAGTTCTTTAATCAGCCAAATGATGTTTTTCAGACAACTGTATTGAAAGGCAGAATCAGAAATGAGCCAAAAACAAAGTGCACACATTCAAATAATCCATAAAATATGAATCAGGGGTTCCAGATTAGTGCCAGTGATAAGAATCTGTTTATGGAGTGACGAGGGGAACCGTGCCATTTCAAACCTCTGACATCTGAAGTGTTGGTCTCTCTGGTGTCATCTTCCAAAGATCTAAAGAGTTCTCAATATGTTGTCCAATTATGTAAAAAAGCCAGTCGTGTCCTCACTGTTTCATATGAACGTAGATATGAGCGATGACACGGGCAGAACTCACCACTCAGGATACTCCTCATGAGGCTTCAGTTTGGGGTCGTCCCCCTGTTTGAAGATGTTCACTCCGACTGCGTGAGACGTCAGTCTGACCGGGTCTGTGCACACCTCTGGACCTTTCTGCTCCTCCTTCACCGCGCCCTTACCTTTGGTTTTGACCACTGAAAGACAGGGACAGAGATTGCACTTTAAGGATCGGTATAAGGATTTGTGGCCCTTCACTCGTTATCACAGTTAATTTATAAGCTGTGTATTAAAGTAATGAGTAACTGCACCTTTAAATTTCATTCAGTGGACTGAATCAAGGCTATTTTAACTGACATGACCCACACGAACCCTTGGAATTTTTTAGCAACTAAATTCCTTGAAACTATGTGGATTTATTAATTGACTGCACAGTTGGGATATTTCAGGGATTCAGAGATTCTAACAAACCTTCATCAGATTAAAGATCAGCATGTCTGCCGGTCTAGACTAACATGTTCCACCAAACAATCCTTCTGCTCTTTTTGAAGCTACCAGGGGATTGAGACGGTGGCAGGTGAGCAATGAGATGCATTTTGGTTCCCTTAAGTTTCCTCAAATGTATGATTGTATTTATTACTTTAAAAGCCCTTCATGGCCTCTCTCTGAGCTCGACCCTGACACACTGTTTGAGATCAACAGACAGCGGTTCTCTGTTTGTGTCTGCTTCAGAGACCCCGGGTGTTTGCAGTCAGAGCAACAGTCTGAATGAGGATGTCAGGTCTGCTGATCTCTTTTACATCATTCTAATTTCAACAATAATTCTACCTTTTCTAACACTGCGTACATTTTTATGCATCATGTTGTGTTTATGTGGCTTTTAAATTCTAATGATTTATTGTCTTGTCTGTTTTATTTTGCTGCCTTTTAAAGCCCGTTATTTGGATTCTGAAACGTACTCCATAAAGAGATTGGTTTAATTATTATTATTATTATAAGGTACTTACTGTTCATTCATTCTTTATACTACATATGTGCATATTGCATGTATTATATTTTATATCTACATCATATAATTGCATTTTCTATGAATGTGGTCGTTGCCTTATATTGTATGATATTGCACTTTAAAGCTCTTTGTAACTGGTTTATAGAAATAAAGATTATTATTATTTCTCATACTATTTATCCCACCATTCACCCTTTACTCATACATTTATTTATTTATCTTTATATTGACATCTACAGCTACTACATTCATATATTTAGTGTGTATTTAGTGTGTTGGTACTTTTCATACTGTAACAGACTGTACACCCAGTGGAACACACTTCATTTCTCCTTTACCACTTCTAGATGCTACATTTCTTAATACTTGTACTTTAAATCACACCCGGTGCAGTAAACAAACTAAACGCGTCAGTTTAGCTCGACACACACACGTTTATTCACCAGAGCTAGCATAAACAGTGTGTGTTCACTACACAGACGTCCTCTTTACCCACCGCCTTTCCGGGCGTAGCCACACGTCTGCGTCCGGTTTACCGCGTTCGTCCTGCACAGCAACGCCGCGCCGCCGTTTGTGATGCATTTCGTTAAAGACGCTGCCCGAGACAAACAGTAGCCGAACATTTTTACCGAGAGGTTACCGACACACACAGCCCACCATGCTACAGTTTGACATTCATAAGTTCCCTCAGCTTTCCGCTTTGTTTCCGGCTCAGTTAGAATCCTCTGCTGCCCCCCTGCGGCCAGGAGGAGGAGCTGCAGCCAGGTTCATGTAGTTCTAGTTCAATTCGACAGGTGGCAGCACTCACATGTCTGTCGGTTACTTTAATAACAAAGCAGAAGAAGACGACAGAGAGCTTCTCGAAAATGTCAGAGTACGCGACAGTCCAGAAAAGTACCCTGAAATTAAAGGGTGTAGGAGATATTTCTGCTGGGAAGAAGTAAGTTTTTTGTCGCTACTGTTTGGGAAAGTTGTTGTAAAAGACTAATCCGTTAAATCCTTTAAATCGATAAAATACATCCCGTCGCAGCTGGTAAGATCAACATAGTTGCTAACTGTTAGCATGTTTGCTAGAAGATAAACACGACGTAAATTGTTATAATTTAATCGATTTTATATTTTTTCTAAAGATTGTGTGAATATTATTTAATCGTGAAAATAACATTTTACTGAGGAAGAGCGTTGTTCGTATTTGAGACCTTCGTAGCTTCGATGTTGTCATTATAGAGTTACACATGGAGCTAGACGACGTTAGCTAGCTAGCATTAGCTAAAACAAAACTAACTAACCTGCGGAGAACACTGGAGGTTAATTCGATCACAATATGTCGAAAACATTTCATTACATCTTCTATAGGCGTTGTCAAATACACACTAAATAACACAGTGTGGATAGATCACAACATGTACACAAGCTAACTGTTAACAAAGTGGTGTTTTCTCTCCTCACATTTTCATTAACAAATTAAAACAGAAACCCACCAAAAATTACAGTTTGGTAATAACTCAAATTACATAGCCAAAATATTAATATAGGCAACTGTTCAATAGTACAGATAATGCCTTTCTCCACGCTTTGGACCCCACAGAAACATAAGGCAGGTTGATTACTGATTTCTAGTTTTAGGGGCTATCCTGACTATCTGTTAAATACATATTTCTGATGATACATAAATGCAAAAGGGCTGGACAATCAATCGAAACATTACCGACGTATTATCAAGTGCATTAAGGGAGAGTGGGGTACAATCGATCACATTAGAGGTTTGGTAAATAATTAGGAATATTAGAGTTAGATTATTCATGTTCATATATAAACAACATGCAAATGTCTTTTACACACAAACTCTCAAAGTTTGTTTCTAGGATTTGCTGTTCTTGTAAAAACCAGAAGTGAAATGTTAAACTTCCACCAGGGGCAGCGTTAGCTGTACCAGACAGATGGTTTGTTGTTAAACTTGCCTGAAAAGTCTGTGAACCAGTTAACTCAATACAAATCTACCTGTGTGTCATAGCTGGATGCTGGTTCTGAATCTATCTGTGATTAATTAATTTCCACACCTGTCTCCATCTATCCATCCTTAACTGAACAATCCATTCATTGTGGATGGAAAATCTAATACATAGATTGATAGAAATATATGTTTATTATGTATCTATTGATGTATCTATTTTAATATTGTTGTACATTTTTGGTGGCTTAGTTGTGATCCTGTGTTACAACAAGCTTTTCTTAAGCTAAGTGAAAACGTTCTACATGTTTTAAAATAGTGCAACGTCTTTGGCAACAAGAAGATTATTAAGATCCTATAGGGTCGGTTTAGATCCTCACACACACATCTAATAACTTGGAAACCACTAACAATACAGATATTTACCTACATATCCGCAAAAACATGTCTTAGAAAAATTAGTGGGAAGCTTTCTAATGGTGACCGGACCAGGAGCACAGCTGTTCGACCCCGTGAACGCATGTCAAGTGTCAGCGTTATATTTAACCCCGCATTAAGACGAGCCCTGTGCACCCCTATCCAGGCTGCAGGAGCTGCAGTGTTTTCTTTTTATTAAAGTTAAATGTGTCACAGCATAGCAACTTAAATTCAGTATTGTGGTGCTACCAAGATGCGTTGGCCTACCAATCGTATTCCCCAGACATAATGGATCATGCATGTTTGGTACAGACTGCAGTGAAAGTCACATCATCATTTTTTATTTGTTTCAGTAGGTAAAGAATGCCAAAACATTAATATCACAGTATTTGTCAAAACAGTCAATATGATTATTTTTTCACATAATTTAGCCACAGTATGCAGGTGTGTAATTTCTAGTCAGCCTTGTCTGCTGCGTCTCTGTCTCTCTTTCTCTGCTTTGTAATGTTAGTTTGATACGACAAACCGCTGGTCATCTCACTGTTACATGCTTTTATTTGTAGGAAGAAGAAGAAGGACAAACAGAGTAAACATCGCTTGGAGCAGGTCGCGACCAGCCAGAACGACGAGGAGGTGAAAACCAAGAAGGCGTACGTTGACAAAAGGACGCCGGCACAGATGGCTTTTGACAAGATGCAGGAAAAAAGAGTAAGTTGTTGTTGTGCTGCGTTCAGTGATTGGATTTGAGACTAAATCAAATTAACAGAGATACATGATTGAAAAGCTGTGGCCGCTGCTGCCTCGGTGACCACGACTGACATCAATCTGCACCTCTAATAACCACAGAGCCTTGTTAACATGAAGGCTATGAGGGTTCATGAAACACAGTCAGTCAGTCAGAATGAGAGTTAGCACTGATCAGAAGCAAACAAGGAAGTTGTTGTAAGAACTGGTCTCAAATATTATTCATACAGAAACACAAAACATAATTATAAAAGGTCTTTTGAGTCTGAAAAGTTACTGAAATGTGTTAAATTAAGATCATACAGTTTGCTACTAGTAATGCTCTAAACAGTAAATTATCCTTTTTATTTATTTTATTGTTTACTTTTGTACAGACAGCACATAATTAAAGGAAATCACACCAGAATTAGGTAGCAGTAAATTTACTTGTGTTGAAAAAAAACAACCAAAGAACAATTACACAACAGATGTGGGTTGTAGATGATTAACATCTGCTGTTCTGAACTTTCCTCTTCCACTGAAGCACTGATTACCTCTGAGAGCGCCGGCTGGAGATCCTAAAACAGCAGCGTAGTCCCAACCTGATGTGGTTTTAAAATATAAATACGTAGCTCAGGATCGTAGTTGATGATGTTTCACAGCTTCAGTTCGTCTTCAGATAACTTCTTTATGTTAATCAGAGTTTTTAAAATCAGAAGGACAAAGGTTATAACTGGAAACGGTGGCTGTTGCAACAGAGCGTCCTGTGGAGCAGACACACGGAGAAACACCAGAACAGGAACACAGTGTTTTCTCTGTAGTGTCTGGCTGAACGGATCGACGTTTCCACCGTCCAGAACCATGAGACAGTACATTCAGTTTTAGTGACAGCAGACGGTTGGCAGTTGTTTGTACATAGTTTTAGTTTAGTATTCTGGGAGTGACGGGTGTTGGACGTGTTTACTGTGTAGCTAAGAAGGTAATGATGTCTCATTTCTGTCTTTTCTCTCTTACAGCAAATGGAGCGGATTTTGAACAAAGCATCAAAGACTCACAAACACAGAGTCGAGGTGAGTCAGTCAGATGTGGCGTCGCTCTGAGGGTTCCACCACGAAGCAAATTTGACATAATCAGACCTTACTGGTGTTACAAAACCTAAGACCGTGGTCAGAGATAATGTGTGTCATGCTGTTGGTCATCAGCTGTTTTAGTTAATCAGATTTTCTTCATCGAACTCTTTACGCGCTCCCATGAAGGAGGTGTCATGTGACTCTTCTTCTGCACAAAACAAACCAAATTTGTTCAAAGTTCTTATGGTAGAAAGCACCGTGACTGAAAATAAAGCGAGACAGACGACAAGAATCATGAAATTAATCTACTTATTTTCCTACTCAGTGACTCTTAATCCTTGTTTAAACACGGCAGCAGCACATTATCCTAAACTTCATACATTTGGACACGATCATCTGAAGTGCATTTAGGTCTGACGCTGTTCGATAATAAAGTTCATAAAATGTAGAAATCACAGCTTCATTCAGGGGAATTAGTGACGTACAGCTCAGGAACTTTGCAGATAAACACCCAGCTGACAATCTTTATCACTCAGGAAAAGAATAGGTGACAAGGAGGCGCTTCTTCTGGCCGATCTAAATGCCAAACAGAACCGTGTCCAGATCAGGTTAGCAGTGCAGCATCAGTTACCATGGTGACCAAAGGGATGCAGTCCTCTGTTCAGTCCAAACACTCATAAACCAGCATTCTCATCCCCACAACTTATCTCTAGATTTCAACATATATCCAAATGTTATTCTAAACCGGAAGCTTTTGCAATTTCTGAAGAGAATATTTACAGGATTTTATACATCACTGAACACGTCTCCTGTCTGTTGTGTGTTTCCAGGACTTTAATCGCCACCTGGACACCCTGACCGAGCATTACGATATTCCCAAAGTCAGCTGGACCAAATAGAAGAGGAGCCACTGTTCACTTTGCTGTTCTGTTTGTACTAAATTAACCCGACATTTTCTGTTATTTGCTAGTTTTACGTATTTACAATTGGCTTTTGTTTTTATGTTGGAATTCCTGATGTTTGCAATAAAGAATTAAAGTGTACACACAGTTTGTTTTTAACTGCATTAATCTTTATGGATCACTGATACTAGAGTGTGTGTGTGTGTGTAATATGAGGAAAAAGGGTCAAATCAGAAAATATTTGTTTTTAATGAATATATATATTTTGTCGAACTGCAGCACTGAAAAAAAAAAAGTCACACAAACCAGAACACATGAGGTACAGCGTGATGCAACAAGTGTGATGGCACCGACTAATAACTGGAGTATTTCAGATGTACAAAAGTTCATGAACGGACTCATAAATACAAGCTAGACTTGTGATAAATTATGATGCAGAGCAAGACTGGTGACTATTTCTGAGACTACTATGCTTCATTAAAGAGGTTAACGTAAGACTTGAAGGTGCAGGTGTCAGCAGCTGGTTTGGTGACATGCTCTGGTGTCTAATACCTGGAACAAGTTTAACACCAGCAGCATACAAAACACTGAGTAAGAAGCTTCATCAGACAACAGCAGCAGGTTGTCATAAACGTTTATTCAGAGATGTTCAGGATTCAGCAAATGTTCTCAAACAGTTCGACTGCTTTGGCCTCATAGAAAACACTCCTCTCACTGTAGGAAAGGCTGTTTCTATGTCTTGTAGTGGTTCAGAGTTCACTTTGGCCCCAGCATCTCGCTCGGCTTCACCCACTGGTCGAACTGCTCCTCGGTCAGGTAGCCCAGCTCCACGGCGACGGCCTTCAGCGTGGAGCCCTTCCTGTGCGCCGTCTTGGCGATGGTGGCCGCCTTGTCGTAGCCGATGTGCGGGTTGAGGGCGGTGACCAGCATGAGCGACTCGTTCATGAGCTTGTTGATCCTCTCGGTGTTGGCCTCGATGCCCATCACGCAGTTGTTGGTGAAGGAGACGGAGGCGTCGCCGAGCAGCCGCGCCGAGTTCAGCACGTTCTTCACCATCATGGGCTTGAAGACGTTGAGCTCAAAGTGTCCGTTGCTGCCTCCGATGGTCACGGCCACGTGGTTCCCCATCACCTGGGCCGCCACCATGGTCATGGCCTCGCACTGGGTCGGGTTCACTTTGCCCGGCATGATGCTGCTGCCCGGTTCGTTCTCGGGCAGGATGAGCTCCCCGAGGCCCGAGCGAGGTCCCGACCCCAGGAACCGGATGTCGTTGGCGATCTTCATCATGCTGACGGCCACCGTGTTGAGGGCTCCGCTCAGCTCCACCAGGGCGTCGTGAGCCGCCAGGGCCTCGAACTTGTTGGGCGCTGTGACGAACGGGAGGCCTGTGAGGGACGACACGGTGGAAGCCACCTTCTCAGCAAACCCAATGCGGGTGTTGAGTCCCGTCCCGACGGCGGTTCCTCCTGCTGCCAGCTCGTAGACTCTGGGCATGGCGGCCTTCACCCTCTCGATGCTGTACTTGACCTGCTGGACGTAGCCGCTGAACTCCTGGCCCAGACTCAGCGGGACGGCGTCCTGGGTGTGGGTTCGGCCGATCTTGATGATGTCCTTGAACTCCTCAGCCTTGGCAGCCAGAGCATCGTGCAGAGTCTGGAGGCCGGGCAGCAGGACCTGGTGGACCTCTGTGGCCGCGGCGATGTGCATGGCGGTGGGGAAGGTGTCGTTGGAGCTCTGGCTCTTGTTGACGTGGTCGTTGGGGTGGACGGGATCCTTGGAGCCCAGTTTGCCTCCCAGGATCTCAATGGCCCTGTTGCTGATCACCTCATTGACGTTCATGTTGGTCTGAGTTCCTGATCCGGTCTGCCACACCACCAGAGGGAAATGATCATCCAGTTTGCCGGCCGCCACCTCATCTGCAGCCTGCACGATGGCATCTGCTATCTTTGGGTTCAGGCCGTAGTCCTTGTTCACCTCCGCGGCGGCTCTCTTCAGGATGCCGAACGCCTTGATGACCGGCAGCGGCATTCTCTCGGTCGGTCCCCCGATCTTGAAGTTCATGGTGGATCTGACAGTCTGGGCTCCGTAGTACCTGTCAGCGGGGACCTTCAGCTCCCCGAACGTGTCGCGCTCGATCCTGAACTCGGAGGCGGCCATCGCGGACGTGCAGATGAGGAGTTTGGAGTTCACGCCGAGTCTTTGCAAAGTCAGGAGGTTGCAGTTAAACTGCTGCGCGGTTCTCAAAGACCGAAACATGGCTCCGCAATAGAGGTGAGTCCGGGGGGAGGTCAATGCAGCCTGGCACACTGAAATCTGTCATTGGAGGAAGAGGAGACTGAGAGAGGGCCGGCCAATCAGGGGTCACAGGAGGCGGGACTTCCGCTGAGGACGCCCAATCGCATGGAGACATCAGGCTGCTTCATCCGGATCAATGAAGCTGCTTGCAAACACTGCAACCTTTGACTTCCTGTATGAGCACCTACCTGCAAGAATAAAAGTCCCTAATTTGCATAACTAAGTTTGTAAAGAATAAATGTAAGTAAATGAGCAAACAAAGATTTCTGAGACAGTTGGATGGATTTGTAGTCTTGAAAACATTTTTATTTGTTTTCAAACGTTTAGAAACTAAATTTAAATTCTTGGAAAATTGGAGATAAAAGGTGCAAAGTTCATTATTTTCCATGATTAGGGGATTTTATCATGAAAAAACTATTTGACATTTATGATACGTGTTGATTTCTTATAGCAGCAGAAAAATATGAGTTTAATATCAGCTTTACTTCCATCAGCAGTCTTTTTTCCCCAATATGACCACAAAATAATATAATACAATTGCTCTAAATTTTTCAGTTCGGTTCTACACACTATGTTAATATCTATACATGTAAAATGTCAACATAGTGAAAATACTCTTATTATCTGTATTTGTATCAATATTTTATTGTTGTATTTTTATGTTGTTTTTTTAAACTGTGCTTATTTTTATGTAGCTGTTGTAATGTGTGAATTTTCTCTTATTGTTAATATTATTTCAATAAAATGTGTCTTTATATTATGTGTGTGCAGCTTTATTGAATTGCTGATAAACATATTGTTGGAGTTCATTCATTCATTTTTTATATTTTGAAAGTCAAATATCCATTATGTCCATAAATATGCACCATTTCAAACACTG